AGTGACCAATTGAGTGCCTTGAACAGCACCAATCCAATCTCTGAAATATTCATTCACCAAAGTACTCCTATATCATTTCTCCAGGTAATCCACGGAATGCATAAAACGAAAAGAGACTATACTAGTTAAATAACAGTGATCAATAGTAACACATGGACGGGTCGGTCGTTTAATCAGCTGAATGAATAACTTCTGATTGGAAACAAGCATTTGACGGACCAAACACAAATATTTTAAACCGATGTTAAGAAGGATATCCAGCGCTACATAGGATCAGGTCAGTATGTCCAACACCGAAGGGTATGGAGAGAATATCGTTCCACTCATACCAAACAATCGCGTGTTCAGGTCGAATGAAATGAAGTGAATCTATCTTTTACTTAACCCAAACAGAAGCTGGTTAAATCTCCTGCATATGGCGAAAAACAAACCGATTTTTATCCATCTGAACTGTCCACTTGATTTGACCGGTCAGTAGCGAGAGTGCTGTCAGTGATCTATCGTCCAATACGAATACAACACTCTCGGACGAAGCAATCACCGAGATTGGTCTGAAAAATGACTCTGCTCAAGTTATGCTTGAGAGCTTTCAATGTGGTTTGATAGCAGCCGATAGCTTTAAGGCACTTCTTTTTCAAAAAAAGTAAAAACACCAAACTCGGCATGACTCTCACTATTTGGATGAGTTCAGTGAACACGACAATAATGTTTACGTCAGAATATGAAAATAATAAATGAAGCAATATTACGGACAACAACGCGAATCAGTCGAACGAACCTCGTCACTACAGCCGAATGAATTTGTGTCTCCCAAACGACAGTCCCAGTTTCCTGCTCCCAAGCCCTTACAATATTTGCATCCCTTCCGACCGATACAATCACTACAAAAATTTTTTGACGTTTGTTTTTCAAAATGCGAACAAAAAATCAAAATTTAAATTCCGTTACAATCGGCTTAATAAGTTTCCGCAAAAATTTCTGATGGAATTAAGAATATTTCATAGAAAATCTTTAGAGAAATTTTCTGAAATCTTACTTTTATAACGAACTGCGAACATTGGTGCAGATGTGGAGTTCTCTTCGTGTAGCTGCCGCCATGCTGAAAGTACTCGTGAAAATTGAAGAGAATCTGAGGAGAATTGAAGTTCTTCTCGTGA